ATTGATAAAATATTAAAATAAATTGCTCCCAACCACACACTGCCAATATAAATGTATCTACTCTAATTTCCATAAGCAATATGTGCTACGAATCAGTTTCGGAATGAAATCTACTGCATTCCAGATTTCATTTTGACCCGGAAGTGACTGAAGCGCGTCTTATATGCTCTACCATTCCACCTTTTGTCGTCGACGATTCCCCAGCACACACGCTTCTCCAGCCACTGTTCCCCCGAAATCACATATTTTTAAAGCGAAACCCCGCAATATACAATCGAAAATGAAATTTCGAGATTAAATCGACGTTCGTCGAACACAAATTTTCTGTTAATAGCCTCGATGGAGATACGATGCTACCATCACGGGCACAACGTGTTTGCTAACCCATGAACTATCTGAAACGGATTTCAATCGCAGGACGTACACCAGAATCGGTGTGTCACTCGATCCTTGAGGGAACTATCTGCTGTACTAGTGAAACGTCGAAACAGTTTTCTCAAAGTATACGACTCTCGCTCGGAAAGCTTCGACCAATATCAGCTGTCATATTTGAAAATATAAAATGGAAGTTTGCACCGGCGGGATTTCCAGAGAAATTTGGTAGCCAACTATACTGACATAACAGAGTTTTCAACGTGTCAGAAAATTAGCTAAATATTCTGAGAAAATGTATGTGTCGAACTCTGTTTTTTTTTGGAAAATTAATAATTAGGAAAAATTGGAAAATATTGTCACAAAGAATGTGAGAATATGCATTACACTTTTTTTTATTTTAAATGATGAGTAATTTTCAAATTTTTAAATGATATCAATTTTTCCACGTACAGCCTTGCTAGAGGAAAATTATAAATTAGGAAAATTAGGAAAATTAGGAAAAATAAGAAAAATAGGAAAATTAGGAAAATTAAAAATTAGGAAAAATAGGACAATTAAAAATTAGGAAATTTAGAAATTAGGAAAAATAGGAAAATTAAAATTAGGAAAATTAGAAATTAGGAAAAATAGGAATATTAGGCAAATTAGGCAAATTAAAAATTAGGAAAAATAGGAAAATTAGAAATTAGGAAAATTAGGCAAATTAAAAATTAGGAAAATTAATCATTAAGAAAAATAGGAAAATTAGAAATTAGGGAAATTGAAAATTAGGAAAAATAGGAAAATTTGGCAAATTAGGCAAATTAAAAATTAGGAAAAATAGGAAAATTAAAATTAGGAAAATTAGAAATTAGGAAAAATAGTAATTAGGAAAATTAGGCAAATTAAAAATTAGGAAAAATAGGAAAAATAGGAAAATTAGGCACATTAAAAATGAAGAAAAATAGGAAAATTAGAAATTAGGGAAATTGAAAATTAGGAAAAATAGGAAAATTAGGCAAATTAGGCAAATTAAAAATTAGGAAAAATAAGAAAACTAAAAATTAGGAAAATTAAAATGAGGAAATTTAGTAATTAGGAAAATTAGGCAAATTAAAAATGAGGAAAATAAAAAAAATATTAAAATTAGGCAAATTAGGCAAATTAAAAATTAGGGAAATTAAAAATTATGAAAAATAGGAAAATTAGAAATTAGGGAAATTGAAAATTAGGAAAAATAGGAAAATTTGGCAAATTAGGCAAATTAAAAATTAGGAAAAATAGGAAAATTAAAAATTAGGAAAAATAGGAAAATTAAAATTAGGAAAATTAAAAATTAGGAAAAATAGGAGAATTAGGCAAATTAAAAATTAGGAAAAATAGGAAAATTAAAATTAGGAAAATTAGAAATTAGGAAAATGAGGAAAAATATGAAAATTATGAAAAATAGGAAAATTAAAGATTAGGACAATTAGAAATTAGGAAAATTAGGAAAATATTGTCACAAAGAATATTGGACTATGCACAAAATTTTTTTTCCTCTAAAATAAAGGAAAATCTTCAAACATAATTTACAAATGAAATAAATTATTTCCTATGCAGCTTGCTATAAGAAAATTAATTAAAAATTTAATAAATTAAGAAAATAGTGAGAGAAACAATGTGAAAATGTGTGTTATTTCTTTCTTTCTTTTGGAACCAGGAATCAGTTTTGTCACTGGGAACTTTGTTACACGAAAATTAATATTATCTAAATTCGTTTTACCCAGTCGACGATAATTATTTCAAATTAAATGGGGCCATGGCGTGCAGCATTTGTGGTTGGAAGTTGAGTTAAATTTGTCAGAGCACTTTCATTACCCCCTGGACGTTAAATGAGCCAAACTGGGGAAACTCTGAGTTTTATACAGAAATAACACAAATGGCGGAAGTGATTGTTACGAGCCCGGACGAAAGGACAACGTAACTGTTTTTTATTCGAGTCTTAGAACCAACCTGTTTCGTTAACCGTGCGCGACTAAACGATTCACAGAAACGAATGATAATTTTCCTGGATTTAATTCGAAATAATAAATATTTAAAAAAAAACGAAATATATTCATTTATAGGGAATCGTAAAATGCATTTGAAGTCTCTATTATTATTTATTTATGAATAAAATATTAATGTTGATAAAATCATTAATGCATGCTTTGAAATTTATAAATAAATATTTAAACGAAACAATATATTCGGTATATATTAATTTATAGTGAATCGTAAAATTCAGCTGAAGTCTCTATTTTTATTTATTTATGAATAAAATATTGAAGTGGATGCAATCAAGGTATGCTTTGAAATTTATAAATAAATATTGAAAGAGAAGAATATATTAATTTATATTGAACAATAAAATTCAGATGAAGTCTCCATTTTTATTTGTTTTTGAAGAAAATATTAAAGCTGGTATAATTAATCTAAGCTTGGAAATTTATATATAGGTGTATGAATCCTTCTAACAAACATTTCAATTATTATGTTTGATTATTAGCCATCAGACCAGAATTTTTATAATGAAAATATTCCACTAGAAGGGAATATCGAAACTCTAACAATTTTAATAGACAATTTTGTTCTAAAAAATCACCTACATTAAATAAATAAAAATAAAAAATGTTTACGAGTTGTTTTACAAAATATAAATTCACTCAAGAAAATCATGAATGATGTAATAAAATAAGAAAGACACAAATATAAGTGAAATTAGGAAAAACATCAATGAAAAAGTGGAAAATAAAAATTGTTCTAAATCATATACATGAGCTGAAGAGCATCATAAATAATATAATAAAATAAGAAAGACAGAAACACAACTGAAATTAGTGAAATCATCAGAGGAAAAGAGGAAAATAAAAATATCTAAACATTGTTCTAAATCATATACATGGAAAATTTGTTCTAAATCATATAGATGACAAAAAACACCACAAACAATATAATAAAATAAGAAAGAAACAAATGCAAGTGAAATTTGAGAAAAACACAACACTTTCAATAGACAATTTGATCTAAACAATTATTCACATTAAATGAATAAGAAAAAATATCTAAAAATTGTTCTAAGTCATATACATGAAAATGAACACCATAACAAATACAATAAAATAAGAAAGACACTAATACAAGTGAAATTAGTGAAAACATCAATGAAAAAGAGGAAAATAAAAATATCTAAAAATTGTTCTAACTCATATACATGAAAAATAACACTACAAACAATATAATAAAATAAGAAAGTCAGTAATACAATTGAAATTAGTGAAAATTGAAAATATCAATGAAAAACAAGAAAATAAGAATGTCTAAAAATTGTTCTAACTCACATACATGAAAATGAACATCATAAACAATATAATAAAATAAGAAAGGGACTAATGCAAGTGAAATTTGTAAAAACCACAACAATTTCAATAAAAAATTTGTCCCAGAAATTATTCACGTTAAATAAATAAGACGACATGTCTATAAATTGTTCTAAATCATATACATGAAAATGAACACCATAACAAATACAATAAAATAAGAAAGACACTAATACAAGTGAAATTAGTGAAAACCCCAACTCTTTCAATAGACAATGTGTCCCAAACATTATTCACAGCAAATAAATAAGACAAAATGGCTATAAATTGTTCTAAATCATATACATGAAAAAGAACACCATAAATAATACAATAAAATAAGAAAGACACAAATACAAGTGAAATTTGAGAAAAACCCAACACATTCAATAGATAATTTGATCTAAACAATTATTCCCATTAAATAAATAAGACAAAATGTCTATAAATTGTTCTAAATCATATACATGAAAAACAACACCATAAATAACACAATAAATTAAGAAAAACACAAATACAAGTGAAATTAGTGAAAATATCAATGAAAAAGAGGAAAATAAAAATATTTAAAAATGTTCTAACTCACATACAATAAAAAGAACATCATAAACAATATAATAAAATAAAAAAGACCCACATACAAATGAAATTAGTGAAAAACCCAACACTTTCAATAGACAATTTTGTCCCAGAAATTATTCACATCAAAAAAATAAATTGTTCTAAATGAAATGTCTATAAATTGTTCTAAATGAAATGACTAAAAATTGTTCTAACTCACACACATGAAAAAAAAACCCTCATAAACAATAGAATAAAATAAAAAAAACACAACCGCAACTGAAATTAATGAAAACGTGAATGAAAAGGAGGAAAATAGAAATATCTAAAAATTGTTCTAACTCACATACATGAAAATGAACCCCATAACCAATATAATAAAATAAGAAAGTCACAAATACAATTGAAATTAGTGAAAATTGAAAATATCAATGAAAAATGGGAAAATAAAAATATCTAAAAATTGTTCTAACTCACCCACATGAAAAAAAAAACCCCATAAACAATCTAATAAAGTAAAAAAAACACAACCACATATGAAGTTAATGAAATCATCAATGAAAAAGAGGAAAATAAAAATATCTAAAAATTGTTCTAACTCGCCCACATGAAAATAACCCCCCCCCTAAACAATCTAACAAACCAAGAAAAACACAACCACAGATAAAATGAGTGAAAACGTGAATGAAAAGGAGTTTCACCTACCAAATTCAACAGGTAAACGTTGGTGACAGTTCTCATCCGTTTGTTGCGCGCCAAAGTGATCAACACCAACGAATTGCCAACCACCGATAGTAAAAATATCGTCCCGTACAAAGGTATAATCAAGTTCTCCAAAATGTGTGCCTGGCCAGGCCTCCCGATTGTGGACGAAGTGACGTTCGCGACAATGGAAGTCATCGTCGAAAGTAACAATACGCCGCTAACAAACGTTTGTTCGGTGCCAACATTGCCAAAATAGTCGACGGATATTGCATTATCGGACACGTTGTAATCTATCACCGTCATTTTCGATCCTGTCCCCCCGCGCGTTTTACATCACACTTTATGTTACCCCCATGAACGTAGCAAACTCACGTTTTAATGGGAATTAATTAAAACGATTCACACTTTGTATTTACACTCGACGGGACACATAATTGCTTTCGTTGCTCCTTCAGCTCAAAACTCATTCCCGCGGGCACTTGTGATATCTGGAACTGTGGTTTCCACGGACCTGGAAAAATGAGAAAATATATTAGAAAAATTATCGAAATTTTATTTTTAATTTTAACAAAAATTGGGGGAAAAAATAAATTAAATTTTGTGATTATTAAAAATTATTGTGATTGAAATGTGTGAGAATGTTTCACTTTTTCAGAGAGAAAACTAAGGAAAATGTTAAATTTTACCAAAAATGGGGGGAAAAAATAAATTAAATTTTGAAATCACTAAAAATTGTTGCAATTTAAATATATAATTCTTGCAAGAGAAAACTGAAGAAAATGTTGACCAAAAATAGGAAAAAATTATTGCAGTTTAAAGTTGTCAATAATATTACAAATATTTCACTTCCCCTAAAAGAAATATTAAATTCCACTAAAACTGATACAAAAAAAATAATTAATCACTGAACGTAATCATAAAATATTTCACAATAAATAAAAGCAGATTTCTCTGTTTTAAAATATGAATTCGATGATTTGTTGAAACAAATTCATTTGCCGACTAAAGGCGCGGAAAAACAGTAAATTGCGAGGCAACGAGTGGGATTTTATCGTGGACAACAATTTACGTAGCAGTATTAATAAAATATGGAACTTCTCGTGGTAAATAATTGAATGGATTACTCTCTAATCCTGTCGTGGAAAATTCGAGTAAAATTTCGGGTGAAACCACGATAAACTCCTAACGTAATTAATTCGATTACACGTTATTCGATGTGTATGTAAATGATTCGAGACATAATTCCTGCTCGTAACAGTTTCATTCTGCGCGGACTGCTCTGACTGAGTTTATGCATGCAAAATAGGGAATTCATTAGATGTCTGCCCCCTCAGCGAAAATGTGATTCTTGGTTTAAAGTAATTTCCCAACGAGAATATTCCCCGGTTCTTCGAATGGTAGCGTAACACGAAACCGTTCAAAGCATATTCGTTACTAATTCGATTGTTATTCGAGTCTTCTGACAAACGAATCATATTTTATAATGTAATCAATAATTATCAGAATAAATTGTAATTGATTTCGTTGGTCAGAAATAAATTATTACTAAATCCTTAGCTTTGTCTATTATTAAATTAAGATTCGTTGCAAATTCGATTTCTAGATAATTTCTGAATAATTCTAAATAATTTCTGAATAATTCTAAATAATTTCTGAATTATTCTAAATAATTTCTGAATTATTCTAAATTATTTCTGAATAACTCTAAATAATTTCTGAATAATTCTAAATAATTTCCGAATGATTCTAAATAATTTCTAAATAACTTCTAAACAATTCTAAATAATTTCTAAACAATTTCTAAATAATTTCTGAATGATTCTAAATAATTTCCAAATAATTACCAAATAATATCTAAATAATTTCTAAATAATTCTAAATAAGTTCTGAATAATTTCTAAACAATTCTAAACAATTTCTAAATAATTTCTGAATGATACTAAACAATTTCTAAATAATTTCTGAATGATTCTAAATAATTTCCATATAATTTCTAAACAATTTCTAAACAATTTCTAACTAAATTCTGAATAATTCTAAAAAATTCTAAATAATTTCTGAATAATTCTAAATACTTGCTGAATAATTCTAAATAGTTTCCAAACAATTCTAAACAGTTTCTAAATAATTTCTAAACAATTTCTAAATAATTTCTGAATGATTCTAAACAATTTCTAAATAATTTCTGAATGATTCTAAATAATTTCCAAATAATTTTTAAACAATTTCTAAACAATTCTAAACAATTTCTAAATAAATTCTGAATAATTCTAAAAAAATCTAAATAATTTCTTAATAATTCTAAATAATTGCTGAATGATTCTAAATAATTTCTAAACAGTTTCTACATAATTTCTAAATAATTCTAACTAATTTCTGAATGATTCTAAATAATTTCTAAATAATTTCTGAATAATTTCTGAATAATTCTAAATAATTTCTAAACCATTCTAAACAATTTCTAAATAATTTCTAAACAATTCTAAATAATTTCTAAACACTTCTAAACAATTTCTAAACACTTCTAAACAATTTCTAAACAATTCTAAACAATTTCTAACCAATTCTAAACAATTTCTAAACAATTTCTAAATAATTTTTCTTACATATTTTAGAAATTTCTTTTTTATTCGAAGCTGAGACGATCGTTTGAATGAAATTATACTGAATAAATAGAGACGTTATTATTCGAGGAATATTCTGAGGAGAATCGATTAACCTAAAATGAAATATCGTTGGAATTGCGTCGATGAGAGGCAACACCATCTATAGAAACGCTTGCTCACCGATAAGGCTAGTGATTCGTCGTTAAGAGCGTCGTAGCTTCCGTCATCTTGGTCCTCGCGCTAGTGTACGAACTACCGAAGAATACACACTTTTTAAGGGAATATTTCACCGCGATAAAATCACCACTATGCTCGACGATGTTAAAACAGTCCATGGTTGAGAGTGTCTCGCATTTATTTTCTCCTAAATGTTCTCTATCTCAAGACAGTACCATAGGTGCACAACTTTTTCAATGCAATCTATACATTTTTACCCATGAATTATTCTCTGTATAATACACACTTCTTAAATCGGTAAATTACTAATGAATTTCTTTTTTTAAAGGAGTTTGGAATGGACTGTAATGTCATGATTGAAATGTCAGATGGCTGGAAATTTAATAATATTATAATTGATTTTCGAAAATTGTCGGAATTAATCAGGTATAAATTTTCTTTGATATTACATTTGCTTTGTGAAAATTATCACAATAAATCAGGTATAAATTATCTTTGATATTATATTATATTATCGTCTTTGATATTATGTTATATTATCATCTTTGATATTATATTATATTATCTTTGATATTAAATTATATTATCATCTTTGATATTATATTATATTATACTTGCTTTGTCAAAATTATCAAAATAAATCAAATATAAATTATCTTTGATATTATATTATATTTGATATTATAATTGATATTTGAAAATTATCAAAATAAATCAGGTAAAATTAGCTTTGATATTATATTATATTATGTATGCTTTTTGGAAAATTATTGAAACAAATCAAGTATAAATTATCTTTGATATTATATTATATTATCGTCTTTGATATTATATTATCATCTTTGACATTATATTACATTATCTTTGATACTATATTATATCATAATTGCTTTGTGAAAATTATCACAATAAATCAGGTATAAAGTATCTTTGATATTATGTTATATTATCATCTTTGATATTATGTTATATTACATTTGCTTTTTAGAAAATTATTGAAACAAATCAAGTATAAATTATCTTTGATATTATACTTGCTTTGTGAAAATTATCACAATAAATCAGGTATAAATTATCTTTGATATTATATTATATTATCGTCTTTGATATTATGTTCTATTATCATGTTTGATATTATATTATATTATCTTTGATATTAAATTATATTATCATCTTTGATATTATATTGTATTATACATGCTTTGTAAAAATTATCAAAATAAATCAAGTATAAATTATCTTTGATATTATATTATATTCGATATTATAATTGATATTTGAAAATTATCAAAATAAATCAGGTAAAATTAGCTTTGATATTATATTATATTATGTATGCTTTTTGGAAGATTATTGAAACAAATCAAGTATAAATTATCTTTGATATTATATTATATTATCGTCTTTGATATTATATTATCATCTTTGACATTATATTACATTATCTTTGATACTATATTATATCATAATTGCTTTGTGAAAATTATCACAATGAATCAGGTGTAAAGTATCTTTGATATTATATTATATTATCATCTTTGATATTATGTTATATTATCATCTTTGATATTATGTTATATTACATTTGCTTTTTGGAAAATTATTAAAACAAATCAAGTATAAATTATCTTTGATATTATATTTGCTTTGTGAAAATTATCACAATAAATCAGGTATAAATTATCTCTGATATTATATTATATTATCGTCTTTGATATTATGTTCTATTATCATGTTTGATATTATATTATATTATCTTTGATATTAAATTATATTATCATCTTTGATATTATATTATATTATACTTGCTTTGTAAAAATTATCAAAATAAATCAAATATAAATTATCTTTGATATTATATTATATTTGATATTATAATTGATATTTGAAAATTATCAAAATAAATCAGGTAAAATTAGCTTTGATATTATATTATATTATGTATGCTTTTTGGAAAATTATTGAAACAAATCAAGTATAAATTATCTTTGATATTATATTATATTATCGTCTTTGATATTATATTATCATCTTTGACATTATATTACATTATCTTTGATACTATATTATATCATAATTGCTTTGTGAAAATTATCACAATAAATCAGGTATAAAGTATCTTTGATATTATGTTATATTATCATCTTTGATATTATGTTATATTACATTTGCTTTTTAGAAAATTATTGAAACAAATCAAGTATAAATTATCTTTGATATTATACTTGCTTTGTGAAAATTATCACAATAAATCAGGTATAAATTATCTTTGATATTATATTATATTATCGTCTTTGATATTATGTTCTATTATCATGTTTGATATTATATTATATTATCTTTGATATTAAATTATATTATCATCTTTGATATTATATTATATTATACTTGCTTTGTCAAAATTATCAAAATAAATCAAATATAAATTATCTTTGATATTATATTATATTTGATATTATAATTGATATTTGAAAATTATCAAAATAAATCAGGTAAAATTAGCTTTGATATTATATTATA